TGTTTACCTTTTTATGCAAGAAATAGTTCTAATTCAAAAACTGTTACTAGTGTTTCTGCTTCTCGTAGGCATTCAACATCTAGTGAACTTTTTAAACTTTATTTTTTTCAAAAATTTGCAAAGGATAAGCGAACAACAGAAAAGACACAAAAAGGAACAGCAACAACAACGACAATAGTGAAATCTATTTTTCTGCACGTCTGAGATTTGTTATGGAGAAGTGCTGGAGAAGAGAAGTGGAGGTAGGTTTGGATAAGACAGTGCAATACAAAGAAAAAAAAAACACTAAACGAACCGCACAAAATGCTCATGAAAAAAAAAAAAACAAGCATGATCATTTTTTGTTTTTTTCGGCAACAGATCTGTTTGTTCAGCAAGAAAAAGAATCTGTGCAGAAGGAAATTTTAAACAAATATGTTTATGTATACTTATGTACAAGATAATTTAAATTTGAAAAATGTGTGGACTCTGAGACATAAGCATGAAATAGGGAAATTACAGATACAGCTAAAAAATATGTAAAATTTTTTACAAATTATTTCTCATACTCTTTTACTTTTTCTAGAAAAGGGAAAGGGAAAGAAGGAGGAGGAGGCGAGTGGGAGAGCGGAGGAGGAGCGGAAAGAGAAGGAGAAAGGGTGGTCTTTTTTTAAGAATCTTTATTAAATAGTCAATTTGCCACTGTTTTCCTTTTTTTTCAACCATTATTTTGAAACTTTGTTCGTTGATGTCAATTGACTGTCTAAACCTTCCGCGACAAACAAGGTGGCAAGGAGGCGTAGGATTCTAGAGCTACTGGGCAGCTAGTAGATGAAAGGAAGGATAGTTAGTTGTAAGCGTTCTGCGGATTCCAGTCTGATGTCATCGTTATCCCACTGAATAGCGCTTGATTGACGTTGATGTTCTTCAGAGTTTTTGCCATTCTGTGTTGGTGTCTGTGTCTGTGTCTGTGTCCGTGTGTATATATGAAAACAAACATATGTGAGTGTTATGTGGTGTTGTGTGATGGTCGACGATATAATCGGTGATGATGACGATGATGTTGGGCCAGGAAAAAAATAAAATAAAAAAACTTTTTTCTTCCATTTTTAGATTGCAAAAGTGTTCAGGCTGATCACAGGGAGGTACAAGCCGAGCTCTATTATGACCATTGTATTTTATTTGATTTGTATTATTATAAAACTTAAATTTGACTGTGCCGAGCGCGGTATTTCCCCAGTTCAAGGTGATTTTTCAGAAAAAAAAAAAAAA